CCGCCGCCGGCGTACGAGGGCGGACGGCGATGGAGGAGTCGCTCTGCTGCTGCGAGTACGTGGACCGGAGGGGCGAGAGGAACCACCTGGCGGCGTGTTGCTGCGACTGCGAGGACCTGGATGAGGGCTGCGAGAGGTAACGGCGCCGGGACCCCGCCGGGACCCCCCCCTTCCTGGCTCAGGGGATCCTCCGCGGGCAGCCGGGCTGCCGCCCTGAGGGGAGGGGGAGCTGCGCGCCGCTTTTTCGCGGGGAAACTCGACGGGAGAGACGCGGGTGAGGCTGCGGGAGCGGGACGGGGACAGGGGAAGGGCCCCGGGTGGCCGCCTGCTAGCCAGCGGCTCCGCTTCCCGCCCTAACAGGTGGCTGACGTGCAAATCCCTGCCGCCGGGGGCTCTGGAAAGAATCGCCGACACCGTCGCGGACCGGGTGCGGGTCCCTTGGTTCGCTGGAGCCGTGAAGATCAAGGTCAGCCTCGTGCCGCCCCTCGTTCTGCTGCCCGTCTTCCTCCACGTCGCGGCTCTGCACTTCCTGCTGGGGCTCGTCATCTTGACCTCTCTGCCCGTAGTCGTGCTGTGGTATTACTACCTCACCCACAGAAGGAAGGAACGGACTCTCTTCTTCTTGAGCTTGGGGCTCTTCTCCTTGGGCTACATGTACTATGTGTTTCTCCAGGAGGTGGTTCCCCGAGGACACGTGGGGCATTCCCAAGTGGTGGCTCTCACCGGTGGGTTAATTCTGATGCTGGCAGCCCTGTCTCGAGCCAAGAAAGATCCTGGCTACCTTCCCATCCTAGCGAGCGATGAGAAGTCACAACGGGGTTTGTCCAAGAAAGGTGTCGGAGGGAGCTCCAACGGGCTCCACGGCGTCACCTCCTCGGGAGCTGCTGGCGGACGGGCTGTGAATGGGGAGACCAAAGGCTACTCCAGGGTGTCAGCAGAGGAGCCAGAAGGTGTGAAAAAGGACTGGTGCACGAAATGCCAGCTTGTCAGACCAGCCCGAGCAGGGCACTGCCGGCTTTGTGGCAAGTGTGTAAGGAGACTGGACCATCACTGTGTCTGGTAGGTCTCGTACTGCTGAGGTTACAGGTGTGTTCTCACTCTGTCTCCCCTCTCCCCTTTTTAAACTTAGCTTCTTTTTTTACAGTCCCTCTAAAACGGAGTTGCTTTTGTTACCTGTGAGACCTAGTAACATTCTTTAAAATGGCAAATACAAATTTACCATTTTAAAGAACAATTTAAACAAATTTGTTGATTTAAGTGGGTCGACCTGATAGCTGGTAACTTCTAATAGCTATAAGCATCTTTCAGAACTGCCTTTGGTTCTTTGGGGGTTTTTTGTTGTTTTCTTTTTTATTTTTTCTTAAGACTTGGTCCATGGAGCGCTAGGAATCCTGCAGTTAACTTGCATTAGTGCTGTCCTGGGGAAGGGAACCCGTGCCTGCCTGTATGAATGGAACCAAGGAGCAGTAGGGTATCTCAGCAAAGGATATGATACTTGGTAAAAGTTTGAAGTAAACGGTCTACCACCTATACCCTACTGGTCTGTTGACTTCTGCCTGTAACTTTTCTATAAAAAACCTTCTCTGAACTGTTTCAAAGCTCTTTCCCTGCGTTGTGTAGAAGCACCTTGGAAATTAGGTTCTCTGACAGCTGGGGGAGGGAGGAAGAAAGAGAAGCTGGTTTCTTATCTTTTTAAGAAAAATAATCTCTTCTTTCCTTTTGGAGGATTAACAGCTGTGTAGGGGAGCAGAACCACCAAGCGTTCATCCTTGCACTCTCCTTCTTCATGCTCACCTCTGTGTATGGGATTACACTGACCCTGCACACCGTCTGTAGGGGCCGAACTCCATTTGTGGCACTATTCTACTGCCCTGGGGCCTACTCTGACTACAGGTGAGACGTCTGTCTGGGAGGGAGCTGGGGTGGGCACAGGCTTGGTCAGGCAGCTTAGCTCCTTTTCCTCATTCTGTGCCAGCACTGTTGGCCATCAAACCTGACTGAAAAGTGATCCCTAATAAGCTCTGGAAAGTAGGGATGCATTACTGCTTTTGCCAAGGTGGTGAGCCTGAAACTCGGAGACAGCTCACTGTTTATTTGGAAAAAGTTGTTGGAAGAGCTGGGATTTGAAGGCTTTACTGTGACCTGTAGAGATACACCCTTAAATATCTTTGCCCCCAGATGCAGGTTAACAGTGTGACAGTCTGGAATCTGTGTGCTGTCTCTCCCTCTCATCCCTCGCTGTTTATCTAGTGACTGTCCCTCTGAGTTTTCTGTTTAGAACAGGCTGTTAATATGCCTTGTCTGGTGGGGAAGGAGGTGAGAAGTGTTGGACATGAGTTCAGAGACTGGTGCTACTGCTGATGGGCAGAGTGTGCCAGCACAAGTGACTCCACCTTCTTCTGTGCTCCATTTTGTGATCTATCGAGTGCAAGCATCGTGGTGTCCTTAAGTAAGGACCGAGTACCTTTACAACGGTAAGAGTAAAGAGCTAGGGAGAGTGATAGCAATATGCAAGAGAAGCTCTGATAGCACTAAAAGCTCTCATTAAGTGAGTCCTGAAGCTTTCATTTTGAGAAAGCCTTTAAGGATTATCTGGTGAAAGCAGCAAAGTGAGATCACTAGATGTAGACAGGGATTTGAAAGGCTAGTGATTACCAGGGAAAGTCACTCCAAAGCAGCTGCTCCAAAACTAAATGGCTTCCTTCCCATCTTTTTCCCTGCTGCCAGCTCTGCTCTGTCGTTCACCTGTGTGTGGTACTGTGCCATTGTAACAGCTGGCATGGGATACATCCTCCTTATCCAGCTGTTGAACATCAGCTACAATGTGACCGAGAGGGAAGCTCGGCTGGCTCTGCGGGACAACACTGGGCGCAGGCTCCTGGGTGGGTTGGTGATAGACACTGGCCAGTATAACAGGGGTTTCCTGTGCAACTGGGGCCATTTCTTGAGCCTGGGGTCTTCTCCTCCACAGCGCTCTGCTGAAGACATTGTGTGACACCCCTCTTTCTGCAGATGATGTTGACTGACTTTCTTTAGGAGGGGAATGGCCCCTTCCCCTCAGACTCCCTCCTCCCACACCCTTCCTTTGTGGTCGGTGTACGGGCTGCCAACCCCGTCACCAACAACATCCTGGGCAGAACGGTTCTTCACGTGTTGTCAGCCAGCAATAGGATGCAGGAAGCAGTAAGCCATATGCACAAACCTGGAGAAGGAGGAGCCTGCTGCCTTTTTCCACTGTGGGGAAAATTTGTGCAGCTCAGCAGGAAGAAGAGCACAAGGTTTTGAGAACTTGAGTTTTCATTAGGTGTGAACCCTGGCATCAAGAGGAACCCGCTGTTGGACTTCAGAGCGTGTGTTTGTTCCGGCAAAGGTGAAGGAATACCTGGCTCATACCTACGTGTGACATTTCGGAGATGTCAGGAGGGTGAAATTCTTGTGCAGATAACAGATGGACCGCCACAGGAGCTGGGCTCTTAGGCTAAAACAGAGAGTCTAGGCAGTCGCTGAGCAGCTCCCTCCTCTCTGGTGCATTTTTTTTTTCCTCTCTTTTTTTCCACCCAGCTGTATACATGCTTACATTAAGTGCCTTTGTGAGCAACATTCCTGTAGGGCTTTAAGATCCCTCTGCCCTCTTGACCCCTACACTTGATATTCCATCCCAATCTGTCTGAGAAGACACTGTCCTCTTTGATCTCATTGTTCTTCCTGCAAGCTGAGACTGTGCTGGTTTGAATGTTTTGCTCATGTTGCTCAAAGTCTTTCTGCTCTGATTATGGGTTGGGACATGAGACAGCAGACAAATATACCAAGCAAGGAGGAGAGGCTTTGAAGCAACATGTAACAGTGGACTCTGAGGGGGAAAACAAGAGTGCTATTGTGTTATTGTAGCTTTATGGAAACTACCTTCCTCTCTCCCTCCATAGGAGAAGCAGTCTGTGGGAGCGTAGACAATTCTAACAGCATTTTTGGTAGGTAGCATCTCAGTAGGTTGTGTTGCTGATAACAGTGATTCTGTCTCCTCTCCACCTAGTCACTGTGGAGCTGCCTGACTGTAGATCTGTTTTCTCAAGCCGAGAGGCCAAAGAAAAGTTTAGTCTCTGCATATATAGGAAGAGGATGTGTTGGAGCTATCTGGTTTTGGGATCAGTGACTTGCACTGGCAGGTGAATGAACGTGTTAAACATTTTCTGCAAGAATGATGCCACTTGTTCCTCAGCAGCCTGCAACTGTATTTTTGCCTGGACTTGGCCTTCAGCTGAAATCACAAGGTTTGGTGGTGGTGATGATTTCTGGGGTTTGTGGATGGGGTATTTCTTGTTGCTTTTTGTTTAAATCCTTTGTGTATGTGTTTGGCCCTGCAATAATCTGAAAGGTCTGGCTGCAAAAGCCTGGGACCATGGCATAAGAGTTACAGGTTGGGCCCAAGATACAGGAGGAGAGAGAAGAGCCTTGTCATAGCCACAGATGTTTTTAAATATGTGTGCGGTGGGCACAGACCATACCTACCCCTGACTCTGCTTGTGTGGCAGGTGGCTGGGGGATGTTGGTCAGGTGATGCAAATTCCCTGTGCATTACCTCTGACACACATGATGGATGCTGTGTGGTGCCAAAATGTGGCAGAGTGAGAGGAGTGTCCCCTGAGATCCCTGCTGGATTTGGTGTGTGTGCTCCAGATTACGTGTCCCAGTTTAAGGCCAAGACCATGTCCCTCTTGGCACTGTTTGGTTTCCTCAAGCAGTGCTTTCTATAACCAGCAGATAATTGAGGAGCAGCTGCCCTTGGAATGGGGCTGTGCAAGAAGAGTTACCAAAAATTCTTTATTTCTTCTTACCCCTTTTCGGGGTGCAATCTTTTATAAGGAGGTAAAGAGGACACTGCTCTTTCTGCCTCTGACCAAACACACTAAGAGGTTCCTGACCACTTCCCTGGCCCTAATGTGAAAAAAAAAAGTCACCCAGCTGGACTGTGCCAACTGTTCCTCTGTGACCTTCTGACTGGAGCTTGGAGCCTGACCCTAGGAGTTTAAATTCACACAAAGACCTCACCTCCACGTTGAGTGGTCTGTAAGTGTTTCCATGGCTCATTTTGTGGTGCCTGCTGAGATGAGCTTGAGCCTGGCAACCCTGGAGACAAGGATGCTGTGAGCTAGCGGGTTTGTGATCTTCTCACGTCTCATCCTGCTGGGGCTTGGGAAGATGAAGGTAGAATGACCTCCTGGGCTAAACGAACCCCTGCAGTGGAGGTAGTTAACCTCTTTTGTCCCGTGAGTTACACATGTAGAAATCAATCACATGCCTGTGAGCTGAGTAAGCTCTGGGAGCGTTTACAGGTTTGAGAGAAGCAGTTTCTCAGAGTCCTGCTGCTACTGGCTGGGAGAAAGCAGAGCAGAACAGATCGCCAATCACTTACCTGGCAGTGCCTCACCCTGTTGTGCTCACTTTCTCCCACAGGCAGAGCTTGGTTCCTACTTTGCAGCCTGCCTGTCCGTGTAATCTTGTCTCTTAGTGAGATTTCATGTGAGCTGCTTACACTGAGACTCAGCGGTGTGCTCCCAGGCAGCATGGGCTTTGGGGTGCAGATTAGGAACAAAGGACCTTGGACTCATGTAGCCATGCCACACCTTGGACAAGCCCACCCTAATATAGTGGGGGTAAAGTGCTGAAGTAAATTTTATTTTTCCACTTGCTCCAGAGGGAACTGGAACCACTCCGGACATTCAGGTTGCAAGGTGGGGTTTTAGGAGCAGAATGCAGTGCTGATTCCCCAGTGAACAGGAAGTTCATGTGGCTGTCATCTGCATAGCAGTGGTGACTTTCTTTAAGGACGTGGGTTTTTTTTACCGTCCTGGCTGCTTCCTGAGAGGATTTATGTTGTGAATGCCTTGGGAGATGGGAAACATAAAGTAACAGGATATCTAAAAGGGTGGAAGTGTTGGGAGCTTCAGATGTTCGATACTTTGGAGCTCTCCTTTCGCTATCCCTGAGAATTAGCAAGAAGCCTTTGAAGGGTAACACTCCTTTTGAGCTCATAGCATGGGCAGACTGTTGTGATCTCTCGTGCACTAAAGGACGATTTCTTTTTTGAGTGTTCTCTTGCTGAGCTTGTTACTGGCCACACTAGTAGAAAAATGTGAAAATCTAGGCAGAAAGAGTCAGTCCTCAGGCTCACTGTGTTAGTCACTGCTTAGATCCACACTGCCCAGGTGTGGGAGCAGGCTGCATTTCACAGGTGAACTGTGGGTCATGTGTGTGGCCTTGAGGCAAGGGACCAGTGTCTGGCCTGTAAAACTGTGTGCAGAAAACAGCACTCTGCTGGCCCTTGAACAGTTTTCCCTGTCACAGAAGAGAGGACCCAGAGCTGGTCAGAAGCAGGGAAGGATTTTGGTAATAGATGTTTCTCCACCCAGACTTAGAAATCAGTTTACCCTGCTTTAACCTTGACCTTTTAAGTGGCATTTGTTGTTTCACAAATAGTTTGGACTTCTGCAGCCCAGAGCAACTCTTCAGGGGCCGGGTTCTGATGTTGCTGATGTATTGTTAAACCCGCCGTGTCCAAACACCAGCACCCTGCTGTTTGGTGACTGTCCTGACAACTGTGCACTGCTAGATACACCCTGTAAATGGTGGCTTGACACTCTTTAACTTTGTCGTCTTACATCATGCTTTGTCGTAGGCAAGTCACAGGTCCCCACATCAACTGTTCCTCTGTGTAACTTGTCCTCAAATGACAAAAGTCACTGATGAGCCTGAGCTGGTGCTGCTTGTGACTCCTAATCACATTTCAGCCTTCATGCTATGATGGTGCTTTTTTTTTTTCTTTTAAGTAGGTTGCTTTCAAGTGTCTTAACGAAACCATTTGCTGTAAAATTTCTTCTGAAGATAAAATGGATACTGCCTCACTGCCTAATGTCTTAATAATGTGCTTGTTTTCTTCCTTCTATATGAATGTGTATTGCCTCATTAGGGCAGGAAGCATGTGTGATTATGGATGTGTTTTCCTGTATTGCTTTCAGTGAAGAACTCTACAGTATCCTAGGATTTTGTTCCACTATCAGGATGTTTGTACAGCAAAAATCTTCCTGCGGACAGGTGAGGTTCTTTCTGAAATGCAGGAATTCAGCCTCCCAGTACCTTGTCCCTGTGGCATTCCTCTAATGATAATGTGAAGAATGATGGGCTCTGGAAGAACTCTCTGCTTTGGAGAATGGGGTGGTTGTTTTTTGTTTTTGTTTTTTTGTTTTTTTTCACCCTAAGCTTTGTGAAACGTATTTGTGAGCTTTGTTGAAAGGACCAGTGTGTGTGGTTTTGTGTCCATTTTGCATCATGTTTCCAAATGGATGCAATTCTGAATTGAAATAAATTATTAGAAATGATCTGTGGAGTGGCCTGTTGATTTATGCCAGAGCACTCAGCCAGGTCAAATGACCAAAAGCTGCCATAATCTCATGGCTATTCAGCTGTGGGCTGGATTTAGGAACAAGGGAGCAACAAGCTAAGGAGAAGTTGGGAAACAAGTATTCTTCCAGATCTGCAAGTTTGACCTTTGGGTTTGTTGGTGTTGGGATGAAACGGAGACCTGCTGGCAGTCCTCACCACCCTGGAAACTAGGGATATTCCCCCTGCAGTGGGGATTTGAACTGGGATCTTGCTTCCTACAAGCAGTCCATTATCAGTGTCTGATCAGGTTCTTAGCTTTTTTGTCCAGTGTCTTGCTTTCCCTCCTACACGATACATCCAGAACCCTAAAAAATGATTTCTTTAAACCCTCTTCATGTTTGGAAATGATGTGGATATTCTCCGTGCAGACAGTGAGAAGAGATGTAGCCTTTGATTCTGTTGGTATCTTGGGACATCTGCTGAAAGGCAAGATGATTTTTAATGAGTAGAATCACAGGTGCCTTTGTTCCCAAAGCTCTGCTTTGATTTGCTTGGGTGGCACTGCTGTCTGCTGCTCAGCTCTTTCTCTTTGAAGATTACTTTGTGCTCGCTGACAAGGACCTTGCAGTAGCAGCGAGCCAGGTTTGTAGTTAGGTGACTGTGGTGTGTGCAGAAAGGTGTCAGACTTCCAACACCCCAGCAGCCACCAGCTTCATTAACTCTGGTGCTGCTGTTGGGGGCACAGGAGACTGCTGTCTCTCCTCAGCTTTTATTTTTTTTCCTCCTTATTGTTTGCCATGTTGCCCCTGCACAAGCACAAGCGTGTCTGGAGTGGCAGCTCATGTGCTGGGGCTGGTGTCTGTAACGAGTAACAGGTTTGTGAAGACGAGAGTTGTGGATCAGGGTGGTCCATAGACCCTTCCGAGGCTAATGACTGTCCCCAGCTAGTCTTGTTTGTCGGGGGGAGGGGGGGGGGAGAGCAGAGGAAATTGTTTAATACTTCCAGCACTGTTTCAAGTCCAGTTTGAGCCAGTCCTGGGAGACTTTGAAAAGACTGGTGTACAGATTTACTGAAAAGAAGATATTTCTGTGGTCAAGGTTGTTGGGAAAGCATGTAAGAACTCTGGAGGGCAGATGTCAACAGGAGATGGGGTTGGGGAGAAGGAGTTTGCAATCACTTCATGTTTCTGCATTTGCTGTTGTTTTGTACCAAAGTGAAAAATCCTCCGAGCCTCACCTCTGCACAGGAGAAGGAAAGTCTGGCTGTGCAGCCACCTCCCTCTTCTGCTAAGAAAAGCAAGGAGCTGACAGGCAGAAGTGTGCCTGAGCTGTGAGAGTGTGGGCTGCTGCTGACCAGCATTAAGGCACTGACACCTGCATCTAACCAGGCGCTGGAGCGGGAGGGATGCTCTGCACAGCTGCAGGCTGAAGCTGTTTCCTTGGTCTAACAAACTCTCTTGTGTGTCACCCTCCTGCTGGGAAATGTCTGCTGGAGCTTTAATTTGCAAAACACTAACATCATGTCAGGGATTTGGAGGGTGTCCTGTGCAGTCTCTCAAGAGCATCGTGGGGTATAGCCTTGCTTCTGCCAAGGAGGTACGAGTTGTTTCAGCCAGGTGTGGACTGAAGTGGGAGCTGGAAGGAGCTACTCACCTCCCCCTTTGATTCAGACCATGTTCAGTATGAATGTGCCTGGTCCCTCAACATCATCCCTGTCCCTCAGCTGGATCTAGCTGAGGCTTCAGCTCCATGCTAGTGCTGAATTAGCCGTAGGCAAGGGCAAAGGGGTATCACAGCACAGCTCCTCCTGGACCTTCTTTTGCCTCCTTGCTGCTGGAACTGTCCAGCCAAAGAGACAGGAGAATCTTTTTTTTAAAGCTACTAAGAATAGAAGAAAAGCATAGAAGGTTGAGAGTATTGGAGACAAAGGCCAGTTTCAAAAGTAAATATTGACTGTGCTTCAAGCTCTTTGGGGGAGAGTTACGCTCTGTATAAGCAGCATTATTTTCATGGATGCTGAGTGGGAGCTGTGGGTTTTGAGGATAAAATGTATAAGTGTGGCATTGCTGGGGACAGAATCTGCAGTTCAGGAAATGATGCACCCCTGAGTAACCAGTACTTTGGGGTGCCCTGTTAGCTGCGAGAGATGTTAGATTCAAATGCCTGCTCAGCCTGTTGCTAGTGTTAAGTCTAGGCTGCATGTGAGCTCATCTGTTCCACTCCTCCATGCTCCTCCTAATCCCCTTCCAGCTGCAGCATGCCCTGTTGCTGGCTAGCTGTAATGCTGCCCTCTCTCTAGCTGAGAAAGGATGCCCTTCACCTTCCATCCTCTGGGTCACTGTCCTCCTTAGGCTGTGAAGGAGGCCAAGGGGGGGGCTGGAGACTTTCCCCACTGCACTTGTGGCCCAGCCCTGGTAAGGAGGAGGTCGGCTAAGGAAAAGGCCACCAGTGACATGGGAGCTAAGGGCTGGTTTGGAGGTGTTCTGAGAGCTTGTTAGGTGCTATGTGGGAGAGAATTCCAATGGGAGTGTACTAAGAGCAAGCAGATTGTGGCTGCTGTGCTTCCACAGCTTGCTGCTGTCAGCACCGAACGTGGCTCTGGCTGCAACTGGGCATGAGTGTGGCAGCTCAGCCCCCAGCTCCACTCCTCACTGGCTCAGTGCTCTGTGAAAGACGCTCCGCTTCAGCAGTGCCCGTTCTTCCCCGCCAGACGAGTCATTCAGCCCTCTCAGCTTGTCGCTTCCTCTCACAATCTGCCTTTGAATGCAGCCAGATGGTCTGTGCTCGCCCACACTCCACGCAGGCACCTCCAGCTCCCCGCGCTTGGGTAACGCGCTCATCTGACCTGCTGGGGGTCAGGTCTGTCACCAGGCTCTGGGAGATGGACAGTCAATGTGTTGTAGAGGATGGCTGTGGGAGGTAACGTGGGAGCAACAGTTGTCTTCAGACCTGCACTGAGAGTCTGCTCTGCAGCCTGGTTGTGTGGGCAGGGAGGCTCTGACCACATCTCTGTGAGCTATCTGCATGAACAAATTCCCAACGCTAAAGCTCTGGAGCCTGCTGCCATGCCTGGGCGCCTTGAGCTGTCCTACACTACCTCATCTGCAGTGCTTAGGGCCAGCCTAGGTCCCCTAACCCTGGGCTTTTGTCTAGTGCCTCTCGGTTGGCTTCTGACACAGCCTGCACCGACAACTCTGTTGTGTTCGTTTCACGTTTGGGTTTATTGGAAACTTTCAGTGCATATACAGGTTTTAAAAACTATTTGATACAATGGATAACAGTAACTTATCTTCTTCCTGGCATTCCCTAAGTGCTCCCTGTACTGCCAAATGCTTTTGGAGAGAACTCTGCCTATCTTGCTGTGAGGGGGAAGTGATTCCAGATTCCTGCCTTATGCTGTTGCTAAGACAAGACACAGAGTACCTTAACGGCATTACCCTGTCTGTGCTATGCTGCAGGTTAAGGTTAAACAGTGATCAAAAACCCTCTCATTTTAATCATGTCAGCCTTAGCTTATGTAAAAATACAGTCTGCCTTTTTCTTGTTTTTTTTTTTTTTTTTAAGTGCTGGATCAAGTGAAGGCCCAGGCAGACTTGCACAATATATCCTTAAATCCTACAGTTTGGAAAATGTTTAAATTATGAGAAGATGGAGGCTCATAAACTTGAGATCACCACTTGCCACCAAAATCAAAGCACTGTGTGAGTGGGCCAGTGCTGTGAACTAGGCAGTCCCTTGAAAAAAGAATCCAGGTTTTAGATTGTCCATATGCGACGCTGCGATCTGGATCATTAGCAAATAGGATCTGTGTAAATCTCCTCCTCCCATCTAAACTTTCCTGGCAGAGTGAGCCAGAGGCCGTTCTCTGCATGGCCAAGCTGGCAGTAGTGGTGGGGGGTCAGCTGGCAGTCAGCTCTGTTTGTGCTCTCGTCAAGCTGTGTGCCCTGACCGAGTGCTGGCAACACCAAAGCACCAGGTTACTGCTTAAAGAAAAATTAGTGTAGTTCAGTTCTGTGTTTCCTGATTCATGTCAGTGCTGCAGCTCTGCCTGTGGAAATGGCCTTGGCCTGAAACACACCCTGGGCTAGGCTTTGGTTACTTAGGGCTCACTGCCACCAGCCAAGACACCCCTATGGAGGCTTTACCCAAGGAGGACCTTGTGCGGAATAACCCCCTGAAGTGCAAAGTGAAACTGTCAGGTAAATTTCCCTCTGTGCTTAGTTTACAACAGCAGCAACCTCAGGAAGCTTCCCTTGGCTGTAAGACCCTTTGTGCTGGACAGAACTTCCCTTTGGATTTGTTTCAGTCAGCAGGAAGAAAGCACTGAACAGAATCAGACTTTCTGTCCCCTTTCCCAGTCTCCTTCAACTCTTTTCAGTCATGTTCGGAAGTCGGGGAGAATTTCAGCTACTCTCCTGCGTAGCTGGTTTCTCCTTTCCTCTCTCTCCCTTTCCTTTTTCATCAGTAAGGGGTACTGCCTCCACGCCTTGAACGCATTCAGCACAAGTCTCCTTAAAGAAAATGGGGACATAAAGAACAAAGTGATGACATGCAGATATGTGCATAACATAACAGATAATCAAAATTACTTCTGTTTAAGGGGGAACTCTCCTAAAATTGCTGTGGGATTTGTCCTTTCTGCTACTAGTCAAAGCTGTGACATGTTAAACATTTACATGCAGACCACTCCATTAATACGTCCATTGTACCTGGGAAAAATAACATTTTTCTCTGTTTCTTTTCCCCCAAGAATTTTGCTCCTCCCTCTAACAGCATTGACTAGCTGGTGTTTGGCTTAGCACTCTGAAGGTGAAATATGTTTCCTGAAGAATAAACAGGGTCTCTGAAAGCAGTTTCTTCAGGAAAAATGCAGGCTCATTTGGTCCAGCCCAACCACTTGGGAGCACAGGCAGCTGGGCTCCAATTCTTACTTAATTTTAATCTCCCCACCAAAGGTGCCTTGCCCTGGGTTCCCACATGAGAAACAGGGAACAACAGTCCTGTCTAGTTTGCTATGGCAAGGTCTGAACTGGCTTTTTACCAGTCAGTGGGGGAAGAGGTAATGAAGGACAGGTAATTATGCTCCTAGTACAAGGTCCTATGTAGACTGAATCCAGTCTCTTCCTGGGTCTGAATTTTCCCTGGTTCCTCCACAATGCTGGCTTGTTGGGTTAACTGGTGTGCTGTCCTGCTCTTACTGACACAGCAAGCTACAACAGGTTCACTCTACCACATCAGAAGTGATTCAATTTAATTCTTCATCCAAGGTGCTGCAGATCCTGTTTGGGCTACGCACAGGCACAGCCTGTTCATGACTGCATGCAGCTGACATGCTTTCACGGTGAGCTAGGACAGCATGCTTCTGTTTGCTGCTGAGCTTTGACGACAGGGTTTTTTTTCCCGTTAAAATGCATAGATAATGCAGTTACAGGACAAGGAGTGAACTGGGTGCATCCAGCTCCAGTCATCGTTGGTAGAACTGTCTGCTGCAGTTCTCACTGCGAAGTCAGGCTGATGAAAGACTCAAGTAGGGTTTCTAGTTGATCAGTTTTGGATTTGTCAACTAAATAATCTGCTGTGGACAAACAATACAGTATGTAATTCCCGCGCAATCATTTGGCTTGCTATAACTTACTTAAAGAACCTCCTAAGGCAGCTTTTAACAGAAGCTGCATGGCCAGATCTGTTAATCAGCTTAGACAATTTCAGCTACTTATCTGCTTTCACTGTACTCTCTTTCAGCAGATTTAAAAGTCCTGTGAAGGGTTCCACTAAATTTCCTTTTCCAGGCTGCATGGAAAATTCTTACCCATAAACCTCTACTGCTGATGTCTGCATATATCACAGAAGCAAAATACCAGCAGTAAAGAACCTGTTTCACATGTTCTTCAGGAGCAGATAATCGATCTGTCAAAAACAGTCTCTAAAATAATCTATAGGGTATATTAAACAAGTAAAAAGAACTGCTGACAAGGCAGTGCGCTTACTTGTTACTGTGTTCAGTAGCAATTTTTAGCTTCTCCAGTAAGGTACTTTTTTCCTCCATAATCAGATCAAACCACGCCCAGAAGTACTTCCTCATGAGCCAGGCTGCATGGAGGGTACTCGCTTTCTCCTCCAGAGCAGAGAGAAAATCCTTGTACTAGGGAAGGAGGATAGAAAAAGAGGTGAGAATGGCTTCTTTCCCCCAAGCCCCAGCCCAGTAAGCAGAAACAGAGACTGCAGTGGTGAAGGGTAATGGTGACAGGAGGAAAATGAGCAGGGTGAGAGTATGCAAAGGTGGAGGAGCAGTACATAGGAGAGCATCCTGGGTGGAGGGGAATAATGGAGAGCTGAAAGAATGAATCTGAAGAAGGGAATGATGTTGCTGGAATGGGGACAAGTGTAACAAGTGTAGTGGCACTGTGGAGAGGGGAAGGCATAGCAGCAGCTAGTTTGCCTGGAATCATTTCTCTGCTGTAGTGCAGGCAAACCTTTAGCCAGCTCCTGAAGCTCTGCCTCAGCAACGTATGGGAACAGAAGTCCTGAGCCTGAGACACCTTCTCCATGAGGCTCCTCTGGGTGTCCTGGAGCCAAGTCATCAGGCATTTCCTCTGCAGGCCCAAGCAGTGGTGCCTTTGTGCCACCTGAGTAAAGACAGCAGAGGGCAGCTAGTTATCTGAACTAGTGACTAGATAAACATAAAACCACAGAAAATCGAGTACACTAGAAAATCACATCAGTTTTTTTGCCCCCCCCCCCCC